GTACTTATCTTTATCAACGTTACCAATATTAATATACAACATTGAAAAGGCCTTATATTTTAGGATATGTTTTTGGTAGCATACTGATTAACTAAACGTAAATTCTGACTTGTTAACGTAAGATGGCGTGCTGCGCTAAATTCAAAACAACTATTATACAAACAGATTCAAGTTCTAATGCACGAATTTGTTTCGGTTTATTTCAGAGGTAATCAAAAATCAGTAGCTTGGTCTTAGATGTTTGTACCTAAATAAGGTAAAAATAATACAAAATCTTATAGGATTTAATAAAAAAAAATCAAAATGAGTTAAAAAATAATCAAGAAGTTGCTCAGTGGTTAGAAAATCCACCGGAATAAGATAGAACCAGTTTTGATTCTTACTGGGTGGAAAGCATAGTTATTTCTTTTTGTAAGCTCACTGCATTACAACTCAGTATAAGTTTTTCTGAATTGTAGTCGGACCCAAAGGTGATTTGGGACTTGAATTCGTTTCCCATTACTAGTAATGCAGATTGTATTCATCCTGCATCAGAAGACGGGCATGTCTAAGGCAAAGTAATCAAATCGCTCCTGATATTTGGAGGTGACAATTTTCGCCGCTCTGTAATAATATTAAACATTGCCACTGGTGTCAACAATTCGGACTACATAGTCCTAGCGCCATCTAGCGGTTAACCAAAAGGGCGCTGCCGTTCCATTTAATGTCCAAAGAGGGCGCTGTGACGACTGACGGCGGCAGATTGAAGTAAACATGAAAGCACAAAATAATTTTACAATACCAATTGACAGTATTGCCAACTTAGCTTTTTTACAGTCATTTCTACAGTTGCTTTTGTGGCCATTTCTACAGTTGCTTTTGTAGACAGCCAAAAAATTTTTAATTTACGGCTTTATACAATATATATAAAGCATAAATCACATTTGTAGACATTTAAATAATGCCTCATCAAAACTAACAGAGATGTTTTTAAAAAGTCTTACTTTTATTGGTACGGTAATTAAAACTATTTTTATATCGATTAATTTTAATTCGATTATTTCAAGTTATTGCAGATAAGATAAACAACATTTCGTCAAGAAAACATCCATTAATTGATTTTTCATAAGTAATCATAACATAAAATACATAAAAATAATACATTTATTTTATATGCTTTGTTTTATTATTTTCGAAGTTAAATTTAATATCAAAAAATTTAATTTAAATTTAAACCCTATTTAAGTTAAATAAAATGGCCCATGCTTATTTTTATCAAAAACATTAACCAGAGTATTTACAAATCCGTTTAAGCGTTCTTTGTCGTTAATGTAATAAGTGCATGGTGCAGGTAAAAACACCTGCTACTTCCTCCTACGTCTGCTTATCCTTCACGAAATTTCTTGATTGAAAAACAATAAAACCAGTTGCTATTTTGCATAGATATATAATATTTTAGTTTTAATCGGTTTTAGTTTTAGTCTTGGTGCTGAATTCCCATATTTGTTTAACTTTGTACTGAAACTGGCCCAAAAAAAGGAAAACAGAAAACAAAGGGAAAAGAGTCAAGCCCAACAAATGTTAAGCAAGAATAATGCGTTACACGAAACTGCACTAAGCTCAACATTTTCGGTTTTACGCTGCTCAGAGTTTTTCTTATTTATCTATCTTTTATGCGCCTCCTTGCAGCGCGAATCGAGTGAAAGGCAGCGACAAAAGGATGTTTTGGAGGAGCAAACTTTGAAATCTACTCGCTCGTTGTCAGTCAAGGAGACCAGAAGCCTTTTTGGCCTAGACAAATTGCCCCTGAGCTCTCCAGCGGAGTCATCAGTCAGAGTGGAGGAACAGATGAAATCTTTTTGGGTCCCGGACACACATAGCCATAGGAAAAGGGCATAGGACGACAAAAAATGGACTCCATCCTGTATATGGCCATGCTAATTATGCTTGTCCTGGGGGACTGCCAACTGGACCTGGGCCAATTAAATGCTTAAGCTGACTTTCGGGTTCGAGCTTGTCATAAATTTTGACTGATTATGCGTATTCGTCTTTGTCGTCGCCTTTTGCCACTGCTTTCACTACCCCAACGACTACCGTCTCATCCTTCGACACAAGTACTCGTGACAACTGAAGAAATTTCTGCGGCAACAAAACCCTACCTCCCAAGTGTCCAACGCAATTCATCATTCAATTAAATTGACCGCAAAGAGCCGCATCTCATATCGCTCAGTTCGTCGACATCGCCTTGGGTTAAGTTTTAAAGTTGCCCAAAGTCAAATCCTTTAATGCGCTGCCAGCCGTTGCTGCAATCGATTATCCATTCAATAAAATGCCGCGGCCCGAAAAAAACTTTTCCCCCTCGAATATCCATCGTGCCACCCCCAACCCTCCCAATTTGGGGGATATCTTTTGAGGTTGATTTATGCGCTGGCTTAAAAGCGAATTGTTGTGAGCTGCTAACTGGAAATCTGTTTGACTGCACGTACTTGTTGGTTCTCCACATACATCCCCCCATATCTTTCCCCGGCTTAAGCGATTGCCAAACAACGTCAAAGAAGCGTCGTGCATGCTGGCAGAATCCTTTGCATTTGAGCTGCGTTTTTTTATTTTTTCTCAGGCTCTTTGGTATGCCGGTCCAGGCATCTCAAGGATTTCCCAGCTGTCCTAGTCACAGTCACTATCTGACTCCCTGGCTTTTGCCAAAGTGATTTACGACCTGCTCATGCCAAGCATTCAAAATTCGGTGTAATTGAGACTCCTTTGATGATTAGTCCCTGCTAAACACTGTGAAATTGAACCTCTCTACGCAACACAAATATTTTTTTCCCCATAAACTAATTTATCTTTTTGTTGGCGGACTCAGAAACACCATTGATTAATTAACACACTCGAAGTTTTTATATTTGCTTAACGAAAAAAAATGAAAAGTGATGCAGAAGCTCTAATAAGTGAACCCAACACTGTATTGAGATGTTATCACGATTTATTCGGCTTGTTTACTTTATAATACACTAACCAAAAATATCGTGTTAAAGGCTTATGGTTAACGAAGGAACTAAATATGTGTAAGCTACTGGTAGAATTTATAGCTCTTAATTCAAGAATGAATGGAGCTATTCTTGATTCCGTTTCTAACGATCTAATGGTCGACAGCTAGTGGCTTTCTTTTGATGCTTTCGTAGTATTAATTCAAAACTATCCAATAGTTTATGACAAATTGTTTTTAGTTTAAGTTTTTAATTTTGAAATTGGCCCTTTTTTTATATAGAAGCTTAAGGAAGATGTCCGGCGCTTTATACTTTTTTATTCAATTAGCAATTTACAAAAAAAATTATATATTGGTTAAACTAAATTAAGTTTAGTGTTTTTGTCGCGAAATTGAATTTTGAACAAATGAAAATAGAAAACAATCTTTTTATGTTTTTTTTATGTTTTATAATAGAACAAAACTCAAAATATGATTCATTATATTTGATTCCTAAAATGCAAAACATACACGATTCAGTCTTTTTATTAAACTGGATTGATCATCCTAATCAACGACTTAGTAAGTCAGCGAATTTTTCACAAGATGATGGCCGTATATTCTCGTACAACGGCATAAATAATGAACCTCTATCATTCAAAAATGAGTAGTATCATGGTGATTTCAATTCATCTTAAAGACCAACTTGGCCTATGCTAAACTTCTGTACGATCGCATGCCAATTGAAAAGACAAGAGCAAATTAAGATTTTAGATTTTTCTAAGAAAAATCCAAGCTATTATTTGAGTGCTAAAAAAATTAAAACTTATGTAACTATTATTTGAGATAATAAACACATTAAACGGTTCTTCCGACTTACAATAGTTGTATATATAGAGAAGTTTCTAAATAACGATGACTTAGTATTAAATGCTGTTTTGGTTACTTTTAGTCATAAAGTTGTTTTTTGACATACAAAATAAAAATGGTTAAATAACCATTATTTTAAAGGTCTTTGTTAAAATCAAACGAATATTAGTTTAAAGTAACTTTACAATAAAATAATAATAATTCATTTTTCAGTCCTTAACATTTTTTAGTTAATTTTTTTAAATTAATTTTTTTAGCTCCACGATTCCACTTACAAATGCTCTATGTTTGTGCATTCTTTTTGTGGTTTCAATTTTAACTTTGAGTTTTTAATTAACGCCCTCGAATAAGCTTTATATGTGAGCACGAAGAAGGGGCAACATCAAGTTGTGGACGACCAAGAAAAGGCGGGAGGTTTTAAGGAAGTTAGTGGGGAGTGCGGTATCCGCGGACGGAGAGGGGAGATCCTTTGAATCGCGCGGTTGCCATGACAAGTTCTCATTTTGCCAGGCATTCCGTTGTCTGGCTAATTCAACATTTGTGCAGCATGCAAAATATTATCAAAATTCCGCCGAAAGTCGGAGGGGCTCTCTCACCACCACCACCACCACCACCCACAGAAAGCGGAAACTAATAAACGACAACAGGTGAAGCTGGGCGCTGACACGTGGCAGAGATGCTGAAAAAGAATTTGAGGGCAATTTTTGGAGAGTGGACTTTCGGCAATAACTGTGGGCCAAGCGCAGGTTGCCAACGCGACCAGCTGTGTAGATAATAGTTGATGGCTGCGGGGAAGTCGATCCTGGAGCGGCATCGATGGGCCGCCTATCGATAGGCCACAGGACTTGTTATCGCAGAGGGCGCCAAAATGGGCTATCGTTCTGGGGCCCACAATCCCCGAACTCCCTCATTCGTTGGTCTGATAGCTGAGGGCGTGGCCAATCCTACGCACACGAAGTATACCCAGCCCGCTCTAGCAACCACTGCCGAGCGCAGCCAGAGCGAGGCAGCATGCTTGCCTCGAAAGCAAGATGGCAGTGGGCTCGGGTAGTTGTCTCTTTCCCTCGCCCATCTGGGTCGTTTTTCGTTTTTTTGCGATTTTTTCCAAATCAATGCAGGAGATAAGCCCGCTGGCAGCTAACGCCCGACTTACCCGTCAATTGTGCGAGGGGGTGGAGTGGCGATTGAATTCGGCGCCAGTGCGCAGTCGTTGTTGTCGAAGTTATCAGGGCCCGGAGTCAATTCGCTTTGATTTTTTCGCACTGCCCTCAAATGCAAGCGAGTCCGCCTAGGCAGCGCTACGTTTCCGGCGTTCTGCTCCGATCCGATCCGATTTGATTCAATCCGCCTCCGTTTTGTGTCAGTAATCAGTAGCCGTCGCAACCAGAGACCGTTTCCCGAATTGATTTAAGCAAAGCATAAACAACGAATAAAAAAAGTGAAAATGTGCCAGAAATCATCCAGAAAAAGCTATTAATTAAACAGTAAAAACAAGGACGAAGAACCACGCCCGGGGAAGTGGGAGAGCGCCGTGTCCTCCGGCGGACAGTGTCCGGCTGTCAGTTGGTCAAACAGTTCATCAATAAACGATTCGACTTCCGTTTCATTGCGTGTCCTTACCTGTGCATGTCTGCGTGTGCGTGTATGTGTATGTCTGTGTGCTCTGTGTGCGTGTGAGCTGAGGAAACTTTGCAACTTCCGGCCAAGTGACTTCGATTTAATTTCTTTGGCTTTTTTATGGTCAAGGCAATTAATTAATTTTACTATGGCAATTTGATCGTCTGCTGAACTCTGACCCCTAACCCTGTGGCACACACAAAACAAGGAATCAGAAAAAGGAGGAGGAGCCAGGTGAGTCCACGGCAAAATTAGCAATAAAAGTCAATGCAAAATACCCACACAATTGAAGGTCTGCAAAAGTTTCTGCGGTTAAGGAAAGTGAAACGGATTTAGTTTCTCAAGTAAATCGCACATTACTAGAATTGGTCGAATAGCTGCACAACTGACGAGGGTCAAAGATTAACTTGAGGACATTTACACGACGGTATCAATTGGAATTGTTAAGAATATTACTAGTTAAGCCAGTAAGCTGGCGAGGAAAAATAAAATAAAAACCAAGATTCATGACTAAAAACTCAAGGTTAATTAGCGACTAACCCAAAATGCTTTTTAATGACTGAAACCCAAGACTAAAAAAGGCCTAACACCTTTAAAGCTTAACATCTAGTGAAAGCAGTGTAGTTTTAACAATTTAATTTTATTTATATAAATTACATTGAACAATAACATAATTTTACCTTTAAGCTTCAGAATGGCGTAGATAGGAAAGCTAATTAAATACACTTTGGTCAGCCTAACCAAACTGATATCGTTTCATAATTTACTTCCAGCCACACTCAATTCCACCGAACAATTGACATGTAGTTCGCACCGAAGGTGAACTCCAACGTTCTGTGATAGACGAGTATACGAGCAGCCAATCCCCTTGGGATTCTGCCCCCCATCGATTCTCGATTCAATCAAATTGAATCCCGAATCAGACAGCGAATCGAAGGTGATCTTGACTTTTGGAGCGGCTATCAGAAACAGCCGCAAACTGTCGACTCTGTCGATACGCAACTTCTCGGCAAACATGCTGAACAATCTTGGGGCCAATGTGCTGGGTAAGTTTTGTGCCCCTCGATGGGGATGGAGGGGTATAATAAGGCGTATAATATTGTAATTAAGATCGGCTGGTGAATTGCGCTAATTTATAATAATGTGTGTATTAATCCATCCCATCCCATCCCATCCGACTGGCCATAATTAAACTAATTTCTTGAGCACACCCGCAAGCGTATGTTCGTGTAGTTACTTCCGATCTTCCGATTGGCATCTCCAATGTCTGCTAAATGGCCTATAATTGAGACGTCTAACCAGATGGCGCCAGGTGTCGCGTGCATTTAGCAATAATTAAGTTGTATATTTAACTAACTCGGCAAACCTTCTCCCATTCCGATTCCCAGGCCCATTTCAATGGCGTGGGTGTGGCTGTGGGTGTGGGTGTGTGTGTGTTAATTGATATAATTGCTCTTTTAAATATGCCGCAAATTGTGAATTACATTCGCACATCGCCCGGCGCACGCACATAATTATCAAACTGTACTTGTGTCCGCATATTAATATATTAATAAATCTGTGCATATATATATATATATTTATGTGCTGGCGAATAAATTATTTTTACCACACTGTTGATCAATGGTTCAAGCACTTTCAATTTTGGCAATCAATTTGTTGTTAGCCCGCCCAACACTACCACCAAATGCAGTTTGCTTGCAGCTTCAACTGCAACTGTAGCAATAAATGAGTTATGGCTCGCGTTTTTATTCAATTTTTATTGCCAGCCCGTAAGCGATTCACCGTTGCATCCTTCGAAGCGTTGCAATTAATTACTTTTATTAATTTATTGCCATTTTTCACGCGCCAATTGTCTCTGCTTGGTCCACGCTGCGTATGCGTAATGTCCATAGTTGCTGGTTAAGCGAAAGAGAGTTATTTTATTGAAAGCAATCGACATGGGTTCCAAACCTGGCGCAAATATATTACCAGTTTCGTAACTATTGAAATATTTTGGCTGTCAAAGTTGACTTTAAAAGTTTCGTGCTTAAAGTTATGCTCCTCCCCTCCTGCCGACCACCATGTAGAACTATAAATATCAATGACTCGCAGTGCGGAATCCTTTGTCCAAATCCTGCCTGCAGTGCTGGAGTCTGCCGTAATAAATTTCGTAAGCCTTTTTCGTAGTTCCGCACAACAAACGGAGGCCAAAACATTTGCATACTGGGTGCGTGGCCTAGTGGGGGGATAGGCGAAGTGGAGAGCCCCACACAATTAAGAGCAATTTGCATGCAAAAGAAATGGCAGAACTTTTCCGTGTGTCTCCCACCGTTTGTCTCCCCGACTAATGCTTAATTTGCATGCAGCGAAAGAAACTTGAATGGCGTTTTATTCCATTTTCGGTTGGACTTTTTCGTGAGCCTCGCATTAATTAAATTAATTTCATGATTGCATTTGTAATTTGCGCAGAGCCCGCTTTGGTTTTCCCCCCTCGCAAAATATCTGCGTGTGCTTCGCTTTGTGCGTTGGCATTTTTGCGGTGGCCTGCGCTAGTGAAATATGTGCTTATACCCCCAATGCCCCACTTCTCCACCATCCGCATCCGTTTTGCATTGAAATGTTTTGCGGTTGCTGCGGATTCTGTTCCCTGTTGCGGTTAGTTGTTGGAGCAGCCTAGATTCCATCCTAGATTCGAACCCATGTATGTCCTGGGAAGCAGGCTGCTAAAAACCGCACAATTTCCAAATTTCAATAATTATGCACATTGCACATGCAACTGACGGGGGTGGTGTATCTGGGTGCAAGTCCTCTTCTATCCCATCGTATCGCATCGCACTGCATCGCATCGCATCCCATCCTGGACGGACCGTTTCACTCCAGTCCAGGTCCATATATTTTGCGGGAGAAATCGCGTTCGCTCCCAAAAACAGACAAACTGATTTGCGCAAATTGTGCAAATTGCTTGCGCGATAAATTCATGTTTGCCAATTTTAATTAATTAATCGCTTTGTGCGGTTTTCATTTCGGTTCGCTTCTCTTTCTCGCCAGACCAACTAAAATGTCCGCTTCAGGCCAGATGTAAATGTATCTGAGTGCGACTATTTGTGTGTGTTGGTTACTTGGTTTCGTGTGGCGGTCCACTGCTGCAATGTTTACAGTTTCGTATTAACGTTATCGCAGTTTTGGCCCGGTCGCAAATGGAGGGCTAACTAAATTACGATGATAGATTACAAAATTATGCCCTATTAGCGGTGTCGTTATGATTTCGGAACATGTTTAAGTTTTTAAGTAAATTTTGCGGTTTACACATAGTTGTTGGCTGGTCCTATTTGGCAGTTTGACAAAATTGTAAATGCGTACCTGAGCAAATATACCTTTTTATCCAAGTAGATTTAAGTTCACGATAGATAAAACACGATATAGATAACAAAAAGAAATTTTAATTGTCGAACTGTAAGTGTTTGTAAGTCAATTTCATTAAAAATTGTTTTAGCAAGTAATCATGAAATAAATACATCCGGTAGTTCGAACATATTAACAATTTCCATTGGTATTGCCTAAGATAAAAGACTTCGAATAAAATTTTATCTTTACACATTCCTTAAAAATACTCTATAAAATATTTCTTAAGTTCAATCGACAGTAAGTAGTGTTAGAAAAGGCAAATAGTATGATGCCAAAGTACTGCTGCAATAAGCTGTAGTTCCAAGGAACTTTTGCCCTGAATGAAGAACCTGTCATCTTGATCTGCATACACAATGAACAGTTAGGGCTGCTTCTTTTTAATATTTATGTGTTACAACTGTAAAAGGCAAGGTGAAAAAATCAAAGTTAGGCCAACTAACTAACTAGTTGGCCGGCGAGGGTCGGGGCTTGGGTTCGGGCCATTGCCAGCAAAGTGCGATTTCGAGAAGTGGCGCTATTTTATGGCTCCCAAACGTGGCCCAAACACTCTTCGCACACATGCACACACACGCACACACACACACACACTAGTTTATTTGGGCGAGTGTGCACGAATGTGTATGGCTCTGATTTGAGAAAACAGAAAACAGAAAACTGAAAACAGAAGGAAGCGGGAACAGTTGGATGTTAAAAGTCGCACTTCTTTGGAGCAACGGACCAACGGCGATGATGTATGTATCCCGCAGTCGCAGATACATGTTTGAGATGTTGCCATCGAGCGTGAATTTCGAGATGGGGAGGGATATAGAGTCTCGATGGAGATATCGCACCTAACACCGCGCCTTAAATTTACTAATCACGAGCAGCGTTTTGGCGCAGCTCGCTGCTCTTTCATGAGCATTTAACCACCGCTCTGTGCGTGCTGCGTAATGCTCTAAAAATATGTCAGTGAGGTGCTGGCAGCGACTTTCATCGATTGCTACAGTTGGCCACAATTGCAGTTTCTCAGCCGAGCTTGGAAACCTCTGCGGGAGAACAGCAACGAGGTGGGGAATTTGGGGGTGAGTTGTCCCGATTGGGGACGTCACCATCTGAAAATCGCTAATGAACAGTAGCCGCACTGGGTGTATGTGTAAAAATTAGCACTTTCCGGGCAGCGCTTTAAAACGCGACTGTTTGGCAGCAACAACAACAAAGCCCGCTTCAGGGAATGTCGCTCGGAGGAACTCCATATCTTTTATTTGTTGATATTTATATTTATGGTTTTATGTGGCGTCTCTAGACCTGCACTCGTTCACCTGTTGGGCGGTGCGTTCTGATACCCGAATACCGCTCCGGATCTCTGACGTCCGAGGGTCTGTGATGTTTGCCGAAATTTTAACAAGTCCATCTCGAAAACAATAAAAATCATTGAGAGCCGCCATTCCCGCCACCGTCGACATCAAAGTCGGCAATCGAGAGTGATGTCGACTACCTATGCGCTGCCGTGATGAGATGAAATTGAAATGGACTGCATCCGCGGAGGAGACTGAGGACTAGGAGGTTTTCCACTAAGTCGCAATTTGCATTTCGGACTCGCTTTCAAAAGAAATTGCACAAGGCCAGTGGCTAGTGGCCAGTGGACAGTGCCGCCTACACCTTCACTTTGAGCCCAATCGAATGGGCATCGTGACGGCATCGCGGGTCTCCCAAAAGGTTACATCTCGGGGACGAGAGTTCGCATCGACCGGCGATGAGTAAATGTTCGACTTGTAGCAACAGTTGAGCTCGGGCAACAAAGGGAGTCGTCGGGTAGAAAGAGTTGAGCCCGGAGTCGCTCTCGCACGTAGATGTTAAAAATTCCAGGCGTACGATGAAGATGACTCTCCCGTGAATCGCAGATCCCAAACCCAAAACCCTTCCCTTCCCATCCCGTTCCCAATCCCAATCCCAATCTCTATCCCATGCCGCGATATACACGTACAAATAAGATGGAAATAAAACGAAACAACGTTACGTAGTCAAGTGAGGCAAGAAGGTAGGAAATGAAAAGGGGTTAGCACTTGGCGGCTCTCTCAATTTGTATCTGTATCTGTATTTCAACCGTTGCTTGTATCTGTATATGTTTGTTCACCTCCGTTTCAATCTGTATCTCAACCTGCGATGGTATCCGTGTGCTTCGCACCTCAGCTTGTTCGCTCTCTCACGTTCGTTACTGTTTTTGGCATCTTTTTCCTTCTGAATGACAGGTTGTTGAAAAATTCAATTTATCCGATCGCCGCAGTTTGGTGCGAGCAATCCTCTAGGTCGTTAGCTCATCGGTCCCCAGTTCGCGCAGCCAGCGAAAAACTTAACTTGGTTAATTAAAAGACAAACGCTCTCCGATTGAGCGGAACAAGTGAATACGGACTCATGTTGTAATTCGTTTAGAGATTTAACAACAAACTCAACAAAATATTTGCCAACTTCGTGTGCGTGTGTGCGTGGGCATTCAAGCCCTTAGGTTTGCCCTTCCATCTGTAAATTTTCGAGGGGTTTTACAATCAAATTAAAATAAATAAATAAGCATTTGCTTGCATTTACATTACGACGTATTGGATTCACTTTGGCCGTTTTATATCCGTTTGAAGCGGGCGAGTTTGGTGATTTCCTTCCAAAAAAGAGTATCCAGGCAAGTACCAAAACAAAAGGGATAATCTGCACCTGTAGGGCTTTACAACAATTCCAAATCATCCAATGCAGGCCGAAGGTAATCAGATCCAGTAACCATTCCACCGCGATGAAAATCATTTTTCAGTACAGAAATATAATTCGATAAAGGTTCAGAGACTAGTTGGCTTTTAATAAGTTTGTCCAGGCTAACTGAGTTGGATAAAAATATATTGAAAATTGATGAAAAGTGTGACTAATGTGTAAAAGGCATCTAATATAACAATTTGTTAAAATAACTGAATTTGTAAGAAATCTTTTAATTTAGCAAATAGAATAATTGGATTTAATAAATTGTGATTACCGTAGAAAAAAACGGTTTTTCATTAAATTAAAATTAGTTTGCAGGCAAAATTATTGTTCATTTCTAACCAAAACACTTTAGGTGCCACCGACCACCAGCCGCTTTTCTGTTTATTTATTTATTTAAATTATTTTAGCAAGAAGTTTTGTCAGATGTTATTAAAATCTAAAACTCGTTTTCTTGCCAAGGCTTATCGGATGTACCCTTTAATAATTACTTCAAATAAGATGGGCTAAAAATAATTGCAGTATGCGATTTTTGTTTTGAAGCCTATTATGAAGTATTTTTCTTTATTTTGTTTTAATTTTTCTTATTTTTCATTAAGTATAACAATCAAATAGTTTTCTATTGTCTTTTCATAATACAATTCACAGTAATAATTGGAAACGAAAAAATAATAAACGAAATAAAACTCTTTAAATTAATATCTTAAAAATAAAAATCTTGCTTATAGTCAACTTTAAACCCCCTTTCAGGTCCCAAGGATTGTGATCTGCCAAAAGCCGCGCTAACAGCGCTGCACGCGGGCGTCAACAGTTTTGGCCAACTGCCCGTGGGTCCCAACTTGGCCGAACTAGGCGGCGGTGCAAGCGGTGGATCCTCTGGCGGAGTTCCGGTGGGCGGAGGAGTGGCACGCCTACACATTTCAGGCGGATTGTGCGACAATTCCAATGCGCTGAACAGCGGAAACGGAAACGCTGGCAACGGGAACGGCAACAATAACGGCAACAGCAACAACAACAACATGCAGCAACAGGATCAGGTGAGCAGGCCAGCGCTATATATAGAGAGAGAGAGATAGGCAGAGTCCTAGAGAAGGGAGAAATGGAGAGATATAGCGCCTAGCTTATACGATACTTTTTTAATAATCCATGTTCTTTTCGATGTTTATTTATTCCTTCAAATTCTTCTCTGCTATGCCAAAAATCCAAAATCAAAAATCAAACAATCCAATTCGATCCGAAATTCGATCCGAAACGAAAATGCCAATGAAAATCTGAAATTCCAAAAACGTGAATGTGTGTGTTCTGAATTGTGTAATGAACCTAATTAAATGTGCCATGAATCATATTCGTACCTTATGAATCATATCCGTAAACTATAAAACAAAAGTAAGTGTACTTTGATTTCCATACTTAGAACCGTAGAACTCCTATCCTAGTCTAACTATAACTTCTGTAGCCCGTAAACCCTAACGTAGTGCGTAGCTTGCATTCCTAGTCTGGTAGTTCGTCAGTGTTCTAAGATCCGCTCGCAAAGGTCAACCCTCTCATTGCCCCTTCCCCTTTGGCCGTGTCTGTCTTGCAGCACCTGGACAAAAACAAGCAGAAGCGCCACCGCACCCGCTTCACGCCGGCCCAACTGAACGAGCTGGAGCGCTGCTTCTCGAAGACCCACTACCCGGACATCTTCATGCGCGAGGAGATCGCCATGCGCATCGGACTGACCGAGTCCCGTGTTCAGGTGAGATATATACTACATAATAAATCCAGTACTAGTTAGCTAGATATGAAATTCAATTTCTGGGGAAAGAGTGTTTCAGTCTTGAAACTTGTAACATTTTCAACATCAATCAAATGGTTACCTTAACAAAAACTTGGCTTCATTAAATTTAAAATTGAGAGGAAAGTAACTCTACAGTGAAAATAATAGTGAAAGAATAAACATATAAATAACATAGATGTCTGAAACAAAATAGTAGAGCATTTACTGTACGACAGATTGTGATGCTTAAAAGTATTTATGTATTTGGGAACATTCGATGTAAACTTTGCTGCCTTTTTCTAAAATCATGTTTAAGATTAATTCAAAAATTATTTTTGCGAGTATTAATTTATATGTTATACAATGGGATTTTTTATGATTTTTATTTGAGAACTTAACAAGGCTATTAATTAGATATTTAACTTCTGTATTATAGGAAGCAAATATGGCATACATCTTGTTTATTGAACATTTCAATTTAAGGCTTAACATAAGTTGTGATATTTTAAAAAGCGTGTCTGCTCTGTATGCTAACTTTGCGTGGTTTGTCGTGCGGCTAGACAAATGTCAGTGGTCGGAGCTGTCGGAATTTCGGGCTCAGTTCGTTTTAGGACCGACATGACATTTCACTTGTGTTGCACACAACCGCAACGGACGTTTGGATTTTGGTTTTTCGGTTGCAGTCGAAAAGTTGGGGAGAAAGATACTCTTTGCCAGCTTGCAACAGTTTACGAGGCTCTGGGCTGAAAGTCGCCGCCGAACGCCATTTAAGCGCCCAAAATTATACTTTATTAAAGCACATAAAGTCACATTTAGTCGGCCATTCAGCCACACCCACACATTCAGACTCTCCCCAGGATGCTCTTCGTTTTTCCCTGCAAACTTTGTGCCACACACACTCACACACACACACACACACACAATGGGCATTATCCTTTTGTGGCTGGCACAGCTCCCCTGTGCTGCTGCCATTATCCTTGTCTCTCTTTCGTCGCCCCATCTCAATCCCCATTCCCGCGAAGGTCCTTTTTGCATGCGGGCGGGCTTTGTTTATGCGACAATCGAATTTACTGCTTCATTAAATTTGTGTTTAAGCTTCCGCTTCCGCTTTCACTGCTCGCATTTGCTCTTTTCCTGAGATTTCTGCTCCGAGTGCTGTTGTGCAGTGCGAGAATTGCTTTGCGGTGGAAATGAATGCCGAAAACTTTGTCTTATTGGCCCCATCCTTGTGAAGGCCACTAGCTCTCGCTCTAGCTTTGGTTCTGGCTAAAACAATTAGCCATGAGTGAGCAACTCAGGCGGCGACACCTTCATGATGATCCGGCCGACATTCTGCCCTCCGCCGGATGTGTCCTACTTTGATAAATTGTTTTAATAATTGCGTATCAGTGTTGCCCGTTAATGCTTTTTTCCAACCACTGCTCCATCCTCCAGATCCGGTTGTCCAAAAGGACAATGCAATCACCTGCCAGGGGGTAAAGCCTGCAGATGGGGGTGAGTTCGAAGCTGAAGCTGTTAGAACTGCCGACGGCTTTTATTCAGGCGTTTTTTTTTTTTTTTTTTTGTCCAATGTTGTTGTAGTCCTGCTGTTTTAATGCTTGATTTTGCGTTGTCGTTGCGGCTTAGAGGATGTCAGGCCGTTGGATTAGTTTTGGGATTGCTGTTTAATAAAATTAGCATATAAATTAAGTTCGCAGTCGAAGGCGAAATAAAACATTTAGAGCTTCGAAAATTTCACACTTTCACGGATATGTGGATATGTGTGTGTTCGCCGAGGTCGGACCTTCATTCGATATGCACACACACGTCTGGCCCTAAATCAATCTACAAGGATTTGCAGCTAATGACGGCATAAAGACAGCCGGTCCGACCCCTCGCAGATAAATGCCCGAAAATCGCTTGTCCGTATTAGCCCCGAAAATCAAGTCAAAGTTGTGTATGTTAAGAAAATATGGGAGCGGGCTCAGCAGGTGCATAAGTTATGAGGCTCACGTAGGCCTGACTGGCTGAGCGGGCACACTCACGTGTGTGCTGCCAAGGAGCAGCATTTATGGTAAATATAATTTAATAAAAATAAAAGTCACAGCTAAGCAGTTTTCCCTGCTTCGGAGGATGGCTATTTCCAAATCGGATTTTCGCCAGTTTTGGGTAAATTAGAATGGCCGAGACCAGCAGGAGGCAGCCCCGGCAATTGGTAATTTGTGTTTTCACACCGCCCAAGCCAGTGGGCGGCATTTGTGCAATTTGCCCGGCACAATCTGTTTGTCACACGTGACATCTACGCGGGGGGCAGATTCCTCGGTTTTTCGGGGTTGGCCCAGAAGATGGCCCACCAAATTGACTTATCATGATCTGGCATTGTCAAAAGCACTGTTTCGGCTTTGTCTGGAGCGCTGCAACATTTATTGGTTTGTTTATTAAATTGTTGCAACGGAGTGAGGTCTAACGGAGGGTCGAGCGACGGCTCAGCACGTGTCTGTGTGCGTGGGTGGGTGCCGGTGCACTAAATGAATTTCTCACATGATTAATTTGCCTGGCAACCTGGACAAAAAATGGCCGGAAAGGAGTCAGCAAGTAATCATTCGCTTGGCAACCGTTTAACAACAAGATTTTGTCTAAAGTATTAGTGCTCTTGTGTCAAATACAATGCGAAATATGTATATGCACCTTTCACATTACAATTTTGACACAACATCATGTTTGTATCTTCATTTATATCTTGTGATAAGCCTTAAAATTATTAAAAGCGTTCTGAAAAGAATTTGCTTTAGCAACCAGTACTTTTACGATATGTTTATTTGATTAGTATTCGTTCCTGCCACTAGTACAGTGAACATTTTATTAACTTTGTGCTTGCAACTAATTTCAGTAAGTGAAAAATTTCGCAAATTATTTTCAGCCAAATTAGAACTAGGCGCATAATTCTGAAAACAAAATAACTAGTGGCCAACATCTCACACAAATGTTGTTTTAGGGAATTAGATGATACACCACTCCAAATGTATACTTTCAAATGAATTTAGATTTTTGTCAAAAACTTCTCGAGCTGGCAAAACGATTCTTGATTATTATAAAAAGTAAAAGTGTGTCCTTGATCAGGATCATCAGTAGAGTCAATCTAGTCCCATGTTTGTAAGGTCTCTGGATGAAACATACCCAAAAGTATATTGCAGTTAGTTCATAGCAAAAATCCATATAACTTTTTGTTTTTTAACAGATGCTAATATAACTTAATATATAAAGTTAATTATTGAACATCTTAAGACATTTCTAAACTCAATTTTTACTTTAAAAAATGTTAAAAATACTATAAAATATCAAAATACTTGGAGCCGGTAACTTTTCATGTGATTCAGCAAGAAATAGGAAATATCGATTGGCCTAAGCCACTGGCGAAGCAGAAGCGAGTCCATTCCCATCCAAGAAAAACTCATCGGCCTTCCCACTGTGAGCGCTGATAAATTATTGCCTCGACTTCAGACAGAACTAATTTATTTGCTGAGCCGCTTAATGCCCCTCTAATAATGGTCCCCCGACTGCCGAAGATGCTGTTCACTGGAGGTGGGCGGGATTTCAGATGGACCTATGTGACGCGCAGCCAATAAGCGAATATTTCGCGAAAATTAGTCGAAATATTCTCATAAAAAGTGAGCATCTTTATTAAAAGCCCTTTGGGGAGAGGGGAAAAGGGGTCAAGGAGCCGGAGACACTGTAACGAGTATTTTCCAGCGAAGCACTCGAAGTGGGGCCAAAGGCGACTGGGTCGCGTCTGATATAACCATGGCATCGCAAATTTTAATTAAACTTTAATTGAAATACCAAAAACGAAAATATGCAGCCAACGGAAAAAAGACGGAAGGTGGGACCAATAAGAGAGCTAAGCGAAATAAGTGGGCGGTCTAAATTTAGCGAATGCTTTAAAAACCAGACTCGACTCTGGCAGGGAAGTGAACCAGGAGGCGTGTTCTCCATAAAATGCACATAAAGAGCATCAAGGAAATCTGGCACGCATTCTGTTTATGGCATATGAAGCAATTCCAAAAGCAATTTCGTTGATACTTTTCATTGAAATGTTTGTGTGAAAATGGCGTGCCAAAGTGCCGGACCGACTTTGCAGGTTGCCAAGGGAGCGGGTGCGGGTGCGGGCTCTATCTGGGGATAAGCTGGTCCAAATGCTGCTGCCATTGATAGAATGACAAGAGAGTCCCCACGACCCGAAAAAAAAGGCTGAAAAACTTTGTCAAGAAGGAACAAAGCGAATCCGAGGGGAGCTTCGGCATGGAGCTGCGCATGCCCCACGAATGCAGCGAAATATTTTCGGGGGTTGCATTGGCCGACCACCATCCCCCGAACCCCAATCCTCTACCCCCAAAAAGAGGATGCAGTTGCCCCGGCAACCCACTGAAAACGAAATGGCAAAATGAAAAACACAAGTCCCAAAAAATCTGGGAAAACATCTAAAACTATTTCATAAATCAGGCAAGTCACAAACTCGGCCTGTGCCACCCCCAGAGAGAGCCCAAAGAATTGCTTTGATGATGTCTATCAAAGGACACATTTCCCCGAAAGAGACGGCTAGAGTGGGTTGCGGGAGTGTGGGAGAGAGACGGCCATAGTGGACTCAGTCCCGGCGGGTTGGAGCCCCAATCTCTGGGGTGGGTGGCTTTCTGGGGTCGCGGCAAGTGTTGTTGGGGCTGACTCGTAAAGCAGGATTTAAAGGATAACATAAAATAAATCGACTAGCATTTGTGTGTGTGTGTGTGTTTGTGTGTGTGTGAGAAGGAAAACAGGGGGCAGAAGTCGAGACGGCATTTTATGAATTTATACGCATTTTTTATATGCTCAGGAATGAAAAGATATTGGCCGAAAAGCGATTTCCATAAACCACTCAGAGCCGGAGTTGTAGTCGCAGGATATAAAAGCGAAGATAGGACCAATAATGATAATAAAAAGATGCTCGAGCTCTGAAGTTGAAGTCG